TGAGAGCTCATCAGATTCCTACAATTCCCTTCTCATTCTCTCCATATTTGGTCATTAACTCTTATCTCCTAATTATCTCTCAACTCTCTGGTCTCTGCTACACTTTTTGTGCAATTATCTTCTCTCAAGTCTAATACCTGGGTTTAGCCCTCCACATTGCCTAAGAACATCTTTCAGAAACAAAATCTGTTTATACCTTGTCTTTATTAACATTCTTCAATGGCTCTCCCAAACCAGAAAAAGTCCAAACTCATTCGCAGCTCTTCCTGTCCTAATTGCACCAATTTGTCCATCCTCATCTCTCAACAATCTCTTCTCCCACCTTTCACTCTAACCATATTAAAATACTATCATGTCTTCAAATATATCAGATTGTTTCATTCTGTCATATCTTTATGTAAGCTGTTCCATACTACAGTCTCTCTCTCTCTCTCATCACCATTCCCACACACAGGCTAAACCCAATCACATCCTTCGTTCAAGGGTCACCTCTGCTCTAGCCTGCGCTGAGTCATTGAGACTGAGTTGATCATTCTCTCATTGTGCCATTGTACATTGTGCTCATGATTGTTGTTGAATGAACCCTGAAAAGTTCTGCCTCTGAAAATGAGACAGTGAGGGCTAAAATGGTATTTTGTGTTATATCTTAGTTGTAATTCATGTAGTGATATTACCTATTCTAGATGACAGGCTTCCATTGCCCTTGAGACTGGATTAACAGCCTGTTCTCTGCCCTAGCATGCTACCATTGACTATACTGCATTACAGTTGTCAATTTCCTGTCCCTCTCCTCTCATTCACCTGAGAACATTTTGAGGATGAGGTTCCAGTTCTATTAATCCTTTTCTTTCCAACATCTAGCACAGTGCTTTGTACACTGTAGGCAGTCAACATATATATTTGAAGAATGAATGTTGCTGTTGAATAAATTATCTGAACCTCAAAATAGAACAATCTTTTTAGTTCTGCCTTTACTCTGCATCTCCTAGATGTCTGAACTTCTACTCTGAAAACATCAGATTTAATCTGGAATTAGTGCCACAAATTCTGGTTCATGCACTGAGAAGGGATGAGCTGAACTTGTGAGCTAGAGTTGGGACATTATTTGAAATTTGCACACCTTCTCCTTGGCTTGCCAATGACAGTTTACCATCTACATCCTCAGAAAGGTACTGGGCAGTCAGTCATCAAATTTGGTCAGCCATCTATGTATAGTTTTTTGAAACGAATTGAAGTGAGTGTTCTTAGGGGATACGATACAATCACAATGGCCAACATTTATTGAATGCTTACTTTGATCCAGGCTGAGTGATAAGTGCTTTACATGCACAATCCCATGTAATTTTTATCTTGTCGATGGAAGCTATTATTGCCCTCATCTTGTAAATGAATTGACTGAGGCATCTAAGTAACTTACTCAAAGTCACTCATAATTGATATGTGGTAAAACTGGGGTTCACACCAAGGCCTGCTTGACTCTCTTTCTGTGAAACACACACAGACACACACATTTACACACCAAAAAGTGTGGCATTCTGTTTTGGATTGTCTTAGTTATGGCAAAGCTCTAAACCACAGCTTCTTGCCTTTTTTCTGCTGATACGGAAAGAGTAGGTTACTACAAACCAGAAAAAGATTGTAATAGTCTCAGGATTTATCCTAAATAATTATGGAGATGGGGAGCTGATTCCCAGTGGCTAAAGCTTTGTTAGAATGCTATTATCAACCAGTTTGAGTGTTGGCTATTATATAAGCACTATGCTAAGTAACTCACATTTCCAGTTACCCTGTCTTTGAGGGTAGTAACTCTTGAGGCCTACACATCACGAAAGCATGAACCTTTTCTTATCCATGGCGTGTTCCCAATATCGCCACGTGCACAGGTGGCAGATTCTTTGGAGTTTACTTCCTTTCTCCTGGATGAGAAGATGGGCAAGTTACCTTTACATACTCCCTTAGCTGTATGAAGGCTGAGCTTTAATAACAGATTTTTAAAAATTCTTTAGCAGGTCACAGGCCGATATTAGATTGGCTTAGAATTGGCTTCTAGTCTGGATCAGTTTAGAGGTTGAGGACCCTCTCATTCATAAACCTTGTGAATATGTGACAGGCATTCTTATCAAGGGACATATCATTCTCTCTCCAGCTAGCATTATATAAACTTTAAGAAAGCTGCCTTTTCCCATAAATAGTTTGCAGATTCACAATGGCTGTGTTGGATGACTGTATCATTCAAAGGAGATTTAAAATTCCATATAAATATGTGTTTAAATGTCCCTGAGTCTCATTTTTGTATAAGCTTCCAGTCAAACACTGACCCCATTCATCTTTCATACACTTAAATTTGATATCTGGTACATGTGGCTTGTATCTAAATATTTATTTAAAAAAAGAATTTTTATATATTAAAAAAATAGTGTTCAAAATTCTTAAAGAAAAGTTGATAAAACCACAAGAATGACAAATATGTTATATGTAGAGGTTTATCTTTCAACTGATACAATTTATTTCCTGCTCCTTCGATGGTTTTATGTTCATGGTGAGAGATAGTGAAAGGCAGGAATTAAAAGCTTGGGCTCTGAAGCTGGACTGTCAGATTTTTGCTTTGTCACTTATTAACCATTTGACTTTGGGCAATCTTTTTTTTTTCCCCCTGATTTTTTATCTCCCCAAATCCCCCCAGTACATAGTTGCAGGTCCTTCTAGTTGTGGCATGGGCAATCTTTTAATCTCTTTTTGTCTTAGTTTCTTCACCTGTAAGAAGGGAATTATAGAATTTACCTTTTTGGATTGTGTGAGAATTAAATGAGTAGATTTATATAAAGAGATTAGAATAGGGTCTGGTCTATAGCAAGCCCACAAAAAATGTTATTTTTAATCACTGTGATATTGTCTTGTATATCTAGAGATTACAAATACACATTCTATAGCAAAAACTCAGTTCATTGACTCATTTATTCATTATCCATTCAATCACTTATTTGATGTTTAACTAATTCATTTATTCACTAAAGATTTACTGATTGCCTACTAAATAGCACGCACTGTGCTTGGTTATATGGGAAATAAAATAATCAGATATTGATCCTGTATTCTCAAGAAACAATTTTATCAAGAGATAAAAATATGTATAAAAATAATTATGGTACAAAATAGAAATGTGTGGTGCAATAAGAGCTTCAGATGAGGTCATATACAAGAGTTCTGAATATCCAGACATTTCTTCAAACTTCTAGGGCTATATTCATGATTACAGACAAGATTTGCATATTATGTCTTTATTAACAAATTAATCAGATTGCACTTGTATTTCCTAACACCTCTACGTACAAGAAGCCACTGGCAAAGGGAGATCATTAGAGGCCATTCTGAAGATACCACATTTAGAAACCTTTTCGGCACTGCACTATTTCCAGATGATTGTGTTAAGGTTGCCAGAGTAAAACAAACACTTAAATAAGTGACATTTGTTCCTAATTTGTTGCATTCATTAATGCTTCAGTTTTGAAAGTCAGAATGTGATTTAGAAATTTAAATAGCAAAGAGTTAGTGTGTTATTAAGCCTTACATTTTTCTTTACTTTGCCTTTTTAATCCATTTATTCTTTCAGGTTCTTGAATATTTAAACCATTTAAAATATTAATAACATATCAAAGAAGTATCAATATTTACATTAAATTGGAATTCATGCTGCTCTATAATATTTTCAATGGTTTATATTATTCATAATTACACTACACAAATCATCCTCATGGAAGAAACTTAAGCAAGTATACTATACTATGGCTATTGCATGGCAGGAATGTTTTTTTCAAAGTGGAGATGCTAAGAAATATTAGGTAATATTAAGCTGGAATAATAAATGATGTGATGTTTTAAAAGTATATAGAGAACAAATCATTTTTAAATGATTATTTTCTATTAACAACAAACTGATATATTTTATTTAACATCAGAGGATCTTAAATCATGGTAACTCAGAGTTCATAAATCATGAAACTTATTATAGTATAGTTTTAAGCAGTAAGAGTATTATATATCCCATCGCCATTTCTTCAAAATGGAAATGATCATGTCTGCAATGAACTACATAATATTTGCATTTTTCAGAGACAGCTTCCTATCATGGGATGATAACACGAATATACATATGTCAGGTTATTATACAAACAGTAACTATAAAAGATAAGGATGATTCAGATAACTTTGTGGAAATGAAAAGACAACGTATTCTCTATAGTCTTCTTTGAACATTTTGAGAAACACTCCATGTCAAATCAGGGATATTTTATGGTTATAACAATTCGTTGGTTACTCAGCTTCTCAAAAAGCACTAAAACTAACCGTAGGAGAAGACATTAGCCTAGCTTTCTCTCTCTTCCACTAATCCTTGTGTTGCTCTTCTTTTTTAATTTCTAGTTTCTAGGAACTAAGATACATTAAAAATATTGTATTTACTTCAGTAAAACCTTGTTGTATTTAAAAATACAGTTTGTAGTAAAAACGTGATCTATATGGATAAAATATTTTGTCCATGATCATTTACTTACTATTTCATTTTGTTTGTGGCATGTGAGATTCTCACTATTCCAAGATGAATATCTAAAGTAAACCAACCAAGAGTAAATTCGATCCAAATTAATCTATACTTAAAGATAGTATAACACATTTTTAAAAACAAAACAAAATAAAAACAAACAAAACCCACCAAACCCACTGTCTTCAGTCAGAAGACATTTTTCAGTGGGTCTTATTATTTATGTAATTTTTTCCCCTCTTCTCAGTTCTAAGACATTTTTCTGAACACATGTAGATTTCTTAGGGATTATAAAATTCTCAAAAATCCATATTATTTTGGGGCCAATTGTCCTCTGTGTAAAGAACATGTCACATCAGGCTGAGTTTTAAAATGAACATAGTCCATTCCTAGGTTTTCTCTCTTCTGCTGGATAGGAGCCTAGAAGCTCCTGGAAACATTTTGGCAACACTGTGTTACTTACGGTTGAGAGGCAGGCTCGCATTGGTCGTGCCGAGCTTGTTGGCAGCCACACAAGTATAGTTGCCGAAGTGCTCCTGGGTCACATTGGTAACTGTGAGAATGGATCTTGTGCTAAAATTTTGAATTATAATTCCTTGTTGGCCATTGAAGAGCCTAGAAAACAAAATAAACTCTAGGTAAGTATGTATCATGAATATCATTTTCATTTTTATCTTAGATGGGGTTGTTATGGCAACCCATAGACAGTTTTGACTACACTGGTGTTAGCGTATAATGTGACAATGATGTAATTATACTTCCCTTACATTAGTAGATATTGGGGAGGAGAGGTTGCATGACAGCCACAGAGTATTCCTATGGGATTATTTGCACTATATAACAAACTGAGCTTAGATATCCACACGTCCTATGCATATATTGATTTGTATTTTAGAAAACTGAACACACTACAGCAAAAGCATCTCATCTGTTAGTCAAGAAAGAGTAAAAGGAATTAAATATAATGATTCCATTAAAAATACAAACTGATGGTACTGGCCCTGTGGCCAAGTGGTTAAGGTCACGCACTCTGCTTGGGCAGCCCAGGGTTTCACCAGTGTGGATCCTGGGCGTGGACCTAGCATGGCTCATCAAGCCATGCTGAGGTGGCCTCCCACATAGAAGAACTAGAAGGACCTACAACTAGAATATACAACTATGCACTGGGGGGCTTTGGGGAGAAGAAAAAGAGGAAGACTGGCTGAGATAGCTCAGGGCCAATCTTTAAAAAAATACAAACTGATGGTTTCTAAGAAGCTGGCTAGGATAGGGCTAGGCCGTTTCACATGATATTATTGTATGACTCCCATGAAAGTTAACCCTATGACTGTGATGGGGTAATTCTGAGTCCAGGTTCAACACCACTTTACTGCTGCTATGTACAATCCAGACAGATGACTTGCTGTTAAATCTAGGAAAAGGCAAAATTATAGTATTGAGGCTCGCATTTAATGTAGAGTCTTGTCTTTGTCACATTTTAGGAATGTATCTGGGAAAGTCCTTTAACCTTTCTGGGCCTCAATATAGGATTCAATTTTTCCTGATTCCACTCTGACTACCCAACATTCTCTCTCCAGACTTACCAGCAGAAGTCCTCACTCTTAAACAGGCTGGCAAAGTTTTACCATTTTCAGACCTTGACATGCCCACTCCTGCTTCACTCTTTTCCTGAATCCGCATTCAGTGCTCATTATCCCATTTTATCTTTGCCAGCCAGATCCTTCCCTCCTCACTTAGGTCTGACCTAAGTCCTCTCTCTCTTTCTCTAACGCTTCTTAAATCACTCTGGTTTCTCTCTCTCTGCAATTTTCTCTCCAAATTTTTGTGGGATTTACAAAACAAAAACCACATTTTTGCATTGTTCCCTCTAGCAGTTTCCATGCATATAAGTCTCTTTCACCCAAACAAATTGAATTGTTTTAAATTCCTCCAAAGGCAGAGCCATATGGACATACTTTGCTTTATATTTGAGTCCTACGTAGCACTTAATAGTGGCATCCTACCTATATAATAAATAGTTTATAGGTCAATGGAGTCCAGGTGACAGCCCTGCAACACAGAGATTGGTAAGCTCCATTCAGTGGCCCCTTAAAGAAATTCTTTCTCTGAGTATGAATTCTCCTATAGTGAGGATGCCAACCAGACAACAACTCCTTTCTAACTAACCCCGAAATTTATTGGGAAAAAGGTGTGCTGATTACAATGTGGGCTATGTAAGCTCATAGCCCAAATGGCATGTTAGTTTTTCCTCTTTAATGTGTTCAAGTTTAGTACTAAATATTTCTTTAATCATGAAGATGCTAATAAATGGCATTCCCCTGAGAGTTTAGGCTGAACTCCTTTGCATTAGGTTATGTGACTTGCATCCGAATTGAGATAAAAAATACTGCAGTTAAATGCAGATTAAAATAAGCAGCCCTGCTTGATTACTCTGGGAATTACTTATGTTTCATGTAATAGCTGAATTTGGCTGATCCAAAACTCAAACTTTAATCAGATTAATAAAACTTTGAGTTGAATAAACATTGGAAAACTTTAACTTGAGCAATAAACCTAATGATCTCCCACTCTGACACAAGAAAGCATGGCATAAAATATCAAAGATATGGTAGTTTTTACTCCTCTGTCTCATATTGCAAATTTGTCAATGTTGATGCTAAAATCCCATAGTGATTATTGCATATTTTTATGCATCACATTACTAACTTTATTTTTAAGCAATTACTATATGTTATATATAAAAATTCAGTTTCATTATTCTGAGAGCTTGAGCATTATGACTCAAATCAATTCACCCATGTCTATGCCACAGACACATTCTCCAGAGGACGGAGAAACTCTCTAGACTATAAATCCCCGTTGTGTCCCATCTACCAAAACAAAGATACATTTTGCTGCTGAAGGTTTGAGAAAAAATTAGCCAGGGTCTTCATTTGGGGAGAAAACGTTAAGGAAGTATATTTAGTTACTTCACAGCACTGTTTGCTTATGTTTCTTATGGTTGTCTTTCTAAGTTTGCTTCCAATTCTCTGTTCTTTAATGTATCTGAAGGCAAAGCCCCAGATGTTGCTAAATCATGCAGCGTATCCATGCTCTGTATGCGTAGGCCCATTTTTGGCCTCTGGCCAACAGTGCTATGTGCATCCTTCCCAAAGTGGCACATTAGCAGCAGCAAGCCCTGCTGCTCTGATCAGCCTGGTAGGTGATTATGGCCAGTAAAAAAGAAAAGTATCTTCCCTGGGGGGGATTTTCTACCCTCTAGAGAAAGCTACCTCTCTTAGATTACTGAGAACTCTAAAGCTTACTTTCCTCTATAGTTGGGAGTTTTAGAACTGCTGACTCCTCAAACACCATTTAAAATCTGTCTCCACCTGGTGGATGCCTGGGGTAGCCTTTCCAAAGCTTAAGGGACAGTGACTTCTGAGATGGTATATATCTCGGGAGGGTATACTTCTGCAAATTTCCTGCAAGGATCCTCGCAAGTGGGTGCTTTCTCAGCTATTCAAATCAATTCTGAAAATAGTCATTAAATTGCTACAAAGATGAGCTCTATGCTAGGTGATTAGAGACTAGGCTGGGCAACACATGATCTGTGAAGATCTTTGAAGGCCTTTGAAGAGGCCAAAGAACAGAATCAGACATATGAGCAGGTGTTTACAACAAAGGCTATTTTAGTCACCATGGGGTCCCTGTTATGATGAATACATTTTAGTTACTGGATAGAGAAATTTGAGCCACACTTAGAAGTCCCATCATGTACAGTCCTAATGTAATTTCACTCCTTGACTAAAAACAAATGCTAAAAGAGCTCTTTAATTGGTAATTGATGGCACTTTTTTTAATCTATGAAACAGATTTATTCCAAAATGGTTGAGCATAATTATATTTTCTGTAAAGAGACTCATTGTTTTTCCTAATCAATAAAAAACATATATTTGACAAATTAAATTGTTATTCTGTGTTAAAGAAAATCCTTGATAGGCTTCAAGCATGTACATATTGCCAGTTCAAAGAATGGCCTTGGTCCTACTGGATTTTTCATATCCATCTCAGACTTGTTTAAAATCAGACTTCCTTGCATCAGTGCTGTGAAATTTGAAAGAGACAACTCAAGCAATAGTTCACAGCACACCTTGCAATAAAACCAGAGAACTAAATCCAGAATATTGCCTTATTTAGAGTTCTTTCTCTCTTTTGCCTAAATACTTAGGCAAAGTTCTCTCCTTTACCTAAATCCTTAGACAAGTTCTTTTAGAACTTGAAAGAGTTCATTCTTGTATTGACTTAGACTATAGAATGAGAGATGTTTTCCTATAGTCCCTCCATTCAAAAAGAGAGAAACTAATCTTGTTGAACTAGGGGTTAAATATGGCATTCTTTTCCTCAGTAGTAGATCAGTAGCATATGGTGCTTGCCTAGAAATGCCTGGCCACTTCTATTTTTTGCATTTTTACCATTCAGCAGACCCCATGGCTATAAGATCCTTCTATTACTATGAACCCTACTGTTCTCTACTCTCTGCCACCAATAAGAGTTTGTTCCATACTTCTATGATCTGAATGTTTGTGCCCTCCCAAAATCCATATGTTGAAATCCTAACTCCCAAAGGTGATTGTATTAGTAGGTGGCATCTTTGGGAAGTACTTAAAATTCATGAAGGTGGAACTCTCATGAATAGGATTAAGGTCTTATAAAAAGAAGTTCCAGAGAGATTCTTAGCCCCTTCTACCATAGGAGGGTATAATAAGTATGTGAACTAGAAGAGGGCCCTCACCCTCATGCTGGCACCCTGACTGGACTTCCAGCTTCCAGATCTTGGACTTCCAGCCTGTGAGATACATTTCTGTTGTTTATAAGCTACCTAGTCAGTGGTATTTTGTTATAGCAGCCCAAAAGGACGAAGACATGTGCCCAGGGCTATTGTCCTCACTCTTCTTTCTCCTCCTGTTTGCTAATGCCTCATAAATCTGTGAACTGCAGGCTAGTTGCTTTGCCAGCAGATGCTGCCAGCTCATAAGTGACAAAGTCTGACCAACTAACTAGTTATGAGTTAGAATAGCTCTTTATATTTTCAAGTTTCAGTTAGAAGTAGCACATGGAAAGCATGCTAATAGTAACCAGGAATACTTATATTTCTGATTCATGAAATGTTCACAAACTTAACAACCATAATCTCTCTCAGACAGTAGCTATCTAGGATGGCCAGAAGGTTCCATAGCAACATCACAACAGTAAAACTGACCACACAGCCATTGGCACTTATTGTTGAGATTGCAAAAATAAATGGAGCAGCTACACCAGACGTCATTCATTTCATGTACGAGTGCGTTTCAGCCTCACTACATATTTTGGACCTATTGTTTACTATCTGCCTTTCCAAGTCAGAAGTAACAGTAAATACTTCCAGAGAAACAAAACTTTCAGGTGAAAATAGTCATAGAAAGACTTCATTGCTAATATAGGAGACACATAAGAGTGTATCAGACAAAAACATTTAATATTAAAATAATTTGGAATAGGGGTTGAGAAAGGCATCCTCAAATGATGGTAGATCTTCTATCAGACTAGAATTACAAAAGAATATGATAATATATCATGTTATATAACTAGATAAG